CTGTCAGCTGAGGCTTTTGCTACTGCCTCCACACTATAAATCTTCTAGTTTCACCCTAATAAAGCGGAGCTGAATCACTGAGTCTAATGGAGCTGTATCACTGAGATCATCCGACTGAGCTGATTTGTGTCTCACTGCGTCTGCGACCAGCCTGTGATTCAGTCTCCCCGGAGAAGCTGTCCCCCATCAGCATTCACTCACGAAGATTCTGCGTTCGCCGTTCCTGCACCTCCCCCGCCCTCGTGGTTCAGTGGCCAACGACCCACAAGCACAGTGAGAATGTTCCGCAGCTAGCCTGAGCCCCCTGCAGATTGGCGCAGCCCACCGGGCAGCTTGCAGTGATCTGCAGAGTCACCAGTGCCCGGCAGCTTGCCTTGGCGCAGAGTCTGCACTCACCAGAGCCGTCACAGACCCGCCCGATCTGTAGTTCCCAGCACCCGGCAGCCACGGAGAGCCAGGGACCTGCCCAGCAGCGCAAAACCTGTGCGCCACGCGAAACAACAAAAGAGAGAAAAGCAGCACAGCCCTTGAGTGCCATTCTCCTGGCTACATCACATGGACCCCTTATAACATCATGGTCCTGATTTCCACCTTCTATGACAAGTGTGTCTTCATCACCCTGTGGCATTTGGGTTAGTGGCTCTGCTATGTCAACAGCTCCATCAGCCCCATCGGCTTTGCTCTCTGCAGCAGAACCTTCAGGAAGACCTTTAAGATGCTGCTTGTCTGCCAGTCAATGAAGAGAAAGGTAGAAGAGAAATTATACTGGCAGGGAAACAGGAAGCTGCCCTGAGTAATTCCCCTCAAAGGAATGTTAACCACATGGTTGGATTGTTTTCAACAAGATAATCTGCTGTTCTGAGTCCCCGAGGACCCGTAAAGTCAACCATTTCTATTGATGTCATAATTAAGATCTATGTGTGATGTGCATCTCAATAAATTATTTACAGTTAAAGTTTTGTCTTTACTTTCTCTTTACTGGTAGTTTCTGGTGAGGAATCTGATGATGGCTTTATGGAGAATTACTTTGTAAGTAAGCGTATTAGTGCTTTTCTGTTGCTGTGATAAAGTACCATGACCCAAAGCAACGCAGAGGAGAAAAGGGTCCATTTTAGCTTATAGTTCCAGAGGGGTAAGGTCCATCATGACAAGGAAGGCATGCCAGAGGAACGTGCGGCTGGCCTAGCAGTCAGGGAGCAGAGATGGAGAACACAGGAAGTGAGGCCAGGTTATAAAACCCCAAAGCCTGTCCCCAACGACAAACTTCTTCCAGAAAAGCTCTACCGTTTAATGGTTCTACAACTTTCCTTATACCACCACCAACAGGGGACCAAGTGTTCAGATATATGAGCCTGTAGGGGTTATTTCTCATTCAAACCACCATGAGAAGAAATCTCTGTATTCTTAATTGCTTTCAATTTTCTTTTTAATTTTTTAGAGAGTCTCATGTATGCTAGGTTGGCCTCAAACAGAAACTTGGTGCTGTTTGTAGCACTGGTAAAGATTGTAAAAGTCCTTGTGTACAGTCTGTGGGCATCTGCAGTGAGAGCTCCTAAGGTCTTTGGTAGCAAAGACTGGTAGGATTCTCCAGTGGTTGTTTTCCTTACCCAGAGAAGCTGTAGCAGTGAGATACAACTTGGTGACCAGCCTAGCCTGCAGTATGCTTGTGATGATGATGGCACTGTTGAAGCATGGTACTTGTGGAATGCCTGTGCCTTTGGCTTCTGTACTACAGGTGTGCATGGACTAGCAGTGACTGTAAGGTCCAGACACTGGTGTATTCTGAGCTCCATGAAGGACAGCAGGGTGGGTATGCCTACTGCATCTATAGCTCTGGCATTGCAGGGCAGGTGCTTTCAGGGCAGCCCTGAAGCCAGGTTCTTGGGTGTAGGCATATGTGGGGCAGGAGTGGCTCCAGAGCTCAGGGTCTAAACTGTCTTGCTCTGGTCAAAGGTTTGATGTTTAAAGCATGGGTAGCCAGAGTTGCAGCAGAGTTTGGGTTGCAGTGCCTCACGCACACACTGCAGTGTCATGGGGAGTTCTTACATGCAATGATAGCTTTTCTGTTTTCTGTGTGCATGATGTCTTCTTGAATGTATTATAAGAAAAGAAGCTGATGTCATTTTTAATTTTTCTTTCAATATATAAGGCAATTTTTCCCCTTTGACTTCTTCAGGTTTTTCTTTTTGTTTTTGATTTTTCTGAAGTTTGAATATTATATGTATAGTCGCATGTTTTGATTTTGATTTTGTTTTATGTGTTTTTGGGTTTGGACCAGCTAGACAGCTCATCAGGTAAAGACACTTGTTGAGCAATCTTGGTGACTGCGTTCTATCTCCAGAACATAGAACGCTGTCACGTACATACACACATGCACACACACACACACACACACACATATATACACACATGCACACACACATGTGCACACACACAAATGCACATCGTGCACACATGCACAATAATAATAATAATGAAAACCCTTTAAAAGATACATGATTGGGTTTCTGTCATTCATTTTAGTTAATTCTTCATTATTAAGTGTTCACAGTTTTCCTTTATCCTCCCTTTATCTTGTTGTCCCTTTACATACATATTTTATCTTTTATAACTGTCTCATACTTCTTAGATACTTATTTGATTCTTTTCACCTTTTTCTTTTTTAAAAATTTGGGGTTTGTGCTGACAGGTCTGTGCTCACTGATTCTATTCCCTGTATCACTCATGTGCCCATGGAAGGCATTCCTACCTAGTACAATGTTTTGGAGCTTTGGCATTTTTTTTTAATACTTTTCTATAATTTCTCTTACAGTATCCATCCACTCTGGTATGTTATCCAGTTTTTCCTTCGATAACACAAACTGTAAATCAGTTGTTGTAAACTTTTGTCTGATAATTTAAAAATCTCTTCTGTATCTAAGTCTCATGCTCAGAATCACTTATCTCTTCAGACCATGGTTTTGCCCCTGGATATATCTTGTATTTTAACTATTTCTTGTTGAAAGTCAGATATAATGTGCAGTATAAAAGATATTCAGGTAAGTGTGGTAATAAGTATTTTTTGTTCATACTAATGTTCACCTTCCTATCTCCTCTTTGGACACATTTAGTTCTTTCATTACAGCATTGAGTTGTATGATCACATAACTTGAGCCATTCTAATTCCTTTCGATTATTTTTTTTATAATAGAATCTACCACTTCAGTGACCTATCAGTGGAATATGCTGATGAAAATGTTTGAAAACCAGGCAACTATGTTGGAGAAGTAAGCTTTTAATGTAACTCTCTATTATAAAATGGAGTGCATATATAGCATAGAAATATTGGAAACAGATATAAGAAAATAAGGCCTCCATCAAAAGTTCAGCTTACATGTCATTATTACATATTATATTTGACTATGTGTACAGTTATAATTATGCACATGTAAATTTTTAAAATTTATAATTCCAAACACATAGACTTTAAAGTAGAATAAAGCTATATGCTTTCGAAAAAACAGTATGCTGATTCCCCCAAAATTAAAAGTATAAGTTCAGGGGCCAGAGCGATGGCTCAGTGGTTAAGAGCACTGTCTGCTCTTGCAGAGGACCCAGGTTCGATTCCCAGAACACAAATGGTGGCTAACAACTGTCCTAACTCCAGTTTCAGGGAATTTGATGCCCTCTTCTGACCTTTGTGGGCATTGCACGACACAGGTGCACTTAACACAATGCAGGCTATATGCTCATGCACATAAATTAAAAATAATAAATAAAATATTAAAAATGTATAAGTGCAATGTGATCTAGCATTTCCATTTTGGGGAATATATTAAAAATTTGGCAGCAGGGCCTTGATGAAATGTGTGTGCAGGTCTTCATTGCAGCGTTGTAATAGCCTAATGGAAGCAACACTGATTCCCAAAAATGAATGGCTAGAAGAGCAAAATGCCATGATGGATTATTTATTTAAAAATGATATGAACATGTATGATAATATGGATAAACCTAGGGGACACTATGGTAAATCACATAAGCCCATCACAAAAAGACAAACACTGCATGATGTTAATTCCATGAAACACCTGGCATGGTCACCTTCATTGAGACAGAATGTAGGCTGGTGATTGTCAGGCGAGTGGAAGGAGATTACTGTTTAATGTACACAAAGCTTCAGGCATACATGATAGAAAGAGTTGTAGACTTTGGTTGGAAAAACTGTGAACGTACTTAAATCTATTGACTTGGATATTTAAAATGGTTTATGTGGCAAATTTTATATACTTTTTCCCATAGTTTTAAAAAGTTGCAATGACACTAAGATAAAGTTTCTGTATATTCTTCTTACTTACAGCTTAATAATTCCTTTTAAAATAAGTGTTATCTGTTTTTAATTAATTGAAAATATAAAATGTGATACTTCAATGTAGATAAACATTGTAGACTGGCAAAATAAAGCTATGTAACACTTTCGCCATCCTCACATTCATTTTTTGTGATGAAAGCATGTGAAATCTATTCTCAACAGTTTTCAGTCTACATTAAGTTACCTATTGACTATAGTCATCATATAGTAAATATATCTCTAGAATGTCTACCCCTAACTGAAACTTTAGACCCATTTTCTATACCCATTTTCCCCATCTCCATCTCTAGTAACTACCTGTTATCTATTTTAATCTATTTATTTCTATGAATTTGACACTTTTAGATTCTACATGTAAGTAAAGTCATGTAATTTGACTTTCTGTGCCGGAGTTATTTCCTAGGCTCTTTGCCGGTGCCAGCCTGCCAAGACGGACAGTACCTGAAAGGGGGAGTGAGGATTGAAAGAAAAAATAAGAGACAGAAAAGATACTTAGGAGGGCTGTCAGTAGATACTGCAGCCCTGGTTTATTTCAGCTCCACCTTTTTATACAGAAGAACTCAATTAGTTTCAACAGCTGTTTTTCCCACCTGTATCTGAGGGTCAAGGAGCGGTCAGATCAAAGCTTCTTTGATCTTTTTGTTTACCACTGTTGCCTGCAGGTCAGGTATTGTGAGGCTCTCCATATAAAAACACATTCCTCCTGGTGTTCTGTTGATTTCGTCCTAATCAGCATCTTCATGATGCCCTGCCACAGCTCAATGTACATAATAGACTAGCAGCTCCCAACAGTTCTTGGCCCGAATAATGGTGTCAAATATGGGTTCCAGTTTGGGAAGTGGGTCTTAAATTCAATCAGAAACATTCATTCCACTATTGCACCAGTGGGCATATCTTGCCTGTCAGGTCATTATTACAACTTGTGAAGTTCACAGATGCGTAAAATTGATGATCACTTTTCTCCTCCAATAGCATGCATAGAACCTTTTAGCAACACGTAAGTTAGCCAGTAGGGATGGCACTTTGGGGTCAGTGCCAGCTTGCTTTCTCCATGTTCTATGATTCAAGGGTGTGTTATCTTCAGCAATAGGGTCTCACCATCAAGTTCAGGAGAGTAACCAAGAGCAATGTCAATATTTAGTAATGTTTGTGAGCCTATGAGACTCCTGTGGCCAACCACTCCAAAAGAGAGTTCAGTTCTGGCACTGGACTTTGATTTTTTAGCATATGTTGCCTAGTCTCATATGAAAGGGTTAAGTCCATCCAAACACTTTTTACATACATATATGCATATATTTGAGGAAGCCTGTATAATAATGTTTCATTATGACCTTTCAAAAGGCCTTGAGTGCTGTACCTTGCTGTATGCCTTCCTTACACTGCCTTCCTTCTGCCATCCCATTTGACCATTTCTGTTCCATTATTCCTCTTTCCCTGATTATATCACTGCATTCTATCTCCCTTCTCTTGAAAGCTCCCTGCCATGCCTCAGTCCTTATTTTCTCACCTCTATAGGATCTCCAAATGAAATACATGGATCTAAGGTTCAAAGGTAGCATCCACATATGAGAGAAAAAGTGCAATGTTTATCTTCCTAGGTCGGGGTTACCTCACTCAGAATGAATGATCAGCTCCATCCATTTACCTGCACACTCTATAATTTCATTTTTCTTAACCATTGAATAATAGTCCACTGTGTAAAAGTACATTTTCATTATCCATTCATTAGTTGATGGACAGTAGGTTGTTTCCATTTCCTGGCTATTGCGAATAGGGGAGTAGTGAACATGGATGAGCAGGTATCTCTGCAGTAGGTTATTAGAGTCCGTTGGGTATAACAATAGCTGGGTCATGTGGCAGATCTATATTTTTGAAGGACTTCCACATTTATTTCCACAGAGACTGCACCACTCACCCATCAACAATGTTTGCACTCCCACCAACAAATACGTGTTCCCCTTTCCCCACGTCCAGGCCCACATTTATTGTCACTTTCTATTTTAGCCATTCTGACAGGGGTAAGGCCGTCTCAAAGTAGTTTTGACTTGCATTTTTCTGATCACTAAAGATGTTGAACATTAGAATAAATATTTCTCAGTCATTTGCATTTCATCTTTTAAGAACTCTCTGTTTAGTTTTTTGTCCTGATTTTTATTTTATGTGTATGAGTGTATCGCTTGCATGTATGTGAGTGCACCCATGTCGTGCAGTGCTGCAGAGGTCAGAAGAGGGTGTCAGATTCCTCTGGACCTAGAGTTAAGGACAGTTCATAGCCACCATGTGGGTGCTAGGAATCGAACCTGGGTCCTCTGCAAGAGCGGTCAGTGCTATTAACCACTGAGCCACCTCTCCAGCACTCTTGCCCCAATTTTTAATTGATTGCCTGCTTCCTTGATGTTTAGTTTGTTAAATTCTTTGTATATTATAGATATTAGCCTTCTATCAGATGTATATCTGGTAGATTTCGTTTTCTATTCTGTAAGCTGCCTTTCAACTCAGTTAATGGGTGTTTTAGTGAAAAATGGATTTTTTTAGTTGCATGCGGTCCCATTTCTAAATTGTTGGTCCTAATACCTTTCACACTTTCAAGTTTTGCCATCACTATTTGTTGAAGATTCTCTCTTTCTCCAATGTATATTTTGTCCTTGCTGTCAAACATCAGGTGATGTCTCTTTCTTTTAGTTAATTTTGCTAAGTGTTTTTTATCTTGTCAATCTTTTCAAAGAATCCACTATTCATTTTATTGATTCTTCATATTGTTTAGTTGTTTTTATTAATTAATCTCAGCTCTGATTTTGATTCTCTCTTCCAGTCTACTTCTGTAGGTGTATAGACTTATATCTGAATCCTCAGTTCTGTTTCAGTGATGAATATGTCTGTTTTTATGCCAATAACACTGTTTTTATTACTAAAAATTTGTAGTATAATCTGAAATCAGGCGTGGTGACACCTCCAGCAGTTCTCTTATTGTTCTGAATTGCTTTGACTCTCCTGGAGTATTTTATGTTTCTATATGAAATTTAAGATTAGTTTTTTTTTCAATTTTTGTAAAGAATTGCATTGCTATTTTGATGAAGATTGTGTTGACTCTCTATATTGCTTTTGGTATGATGACCCATTTTCACAATATTAATCCTACCAATCCATAAGCATGGAAGGTCTTTCCATCTTCTGGTATCTTTACTGTCTTTCTTCAATGTCTTAAAGGTTTTATTATACAAATACTTCAAGTCCTTGGTTAGATTCATTCCAATATAATTTTTGAGTCTATTGTCTATTTCGAGATTGTTTTCCTTCTCAGTGTGTTTTTTGTTGGTGTAGAGGAAGGATACTGATTTCTATATGTTAATTTTGTGTTTTACTTTACTACATATGTTTATCAGATCTAGGAATTTTCTGGTGCAGTCCTTGGGGTCTTTCGTGTATAGAATCATATCATCTGCAAATAAGGACACTGTGACTTCTTTCCCATTTGTAGCTCCTTTATCTCTCTTGTCTTATTGCTCTAGCTAAAGATTCAAACACTATATTGAACAGGAATTTAGAGAGTGGACATCTTTATCTCGTTCCTTATTTTAGTGGAATTTCCTTTTTGAGTTTTTCTCCCTTTAGTAGGATGTTGGCTGTGGGCTTGCTGTATATTGGTTGTATTGGGTTGAAATATGTCCTCTGCATCCCTAGATTCTCTGTGACTTTTATCATGAAAGGGTGTTGTATTTTACTAAAGACCTTTTGTTCTTTTAATAAAATCTAATGAGATTTTCACGTGGTTTCTGTGGTTGAATCTGTTTATATGGTGGATTACATTTATTGATTTACATATGTTGAACCATCCCTAAGTCTCTAGGATGAAGCAACTTGATCACATTGAGAAATTCTTTTGGTGTTTTTGTGAATTGGTTTGGAAGTATTATATTGATAATTTCCCCATCTGTGTTCATCAGAGAATGGCCTATAAGATTTTTTGAAGTCTGATTTTGGTTTCAGAGTAATTCTTGCTTTGTAAAAAGAATTTGGAAATGTTCCTTTGTTTTATATTTTATAGACTAATTTGAGGAGCTTGGTATTAGTCATTCCTTGAAGGTTTGTTAGAATTCTGTGCTGTATTCATCTGGCCCTGGACTTTTTTTGATTGGGAGGTTTTCCATTACTGTTACTATCTTATTGGCTATTATGGGTCTATTTAAAATTTCACTCAATGTTAATTTACCTTTGGTAGTTCAAATATATCTATGAATTCATAATTTCATTTACGTTACCCAGTTTTCTTGAACATAGATTTTTAAGTACATTCTTAGTATTTTCTGAGTGTCTGTTGTAATACCTGCCTTTTCATCCTGGATCTTCTCTTTTTTGTTAATTTTGCTAAAATGGATATTGATAATCTTTTCAAATACCCAACTTTTACTTTGAGTGATTACTTGTATTATTATAATTTGTTTCTATTCGTTAATTTCAGCCCTGGTTTTCATTATCTCATTGTTCATTCTTTTTGGGTGTTCTTTGCTCTTATTTTTTCAAGGCCTTCAAGTGTATCATTAAGTTTTTAATTTTAGATGTCACTGATTTTCTGATATAGGCACCTAGTACTGTAAGTTTTCCTCTTAGGGTTCCCTTCATTGTATCATACAGATTTTGGTATGTTGTGTTTTCACTTTTAGTCAATTCTTGGAATTTTTAATTTCCGTCTTTATTTTTCCCCAATCCAGATTTTATTCAGTACTTTATTCTTTAGACTCCATTAGTTGGTGTACTTTCCCTAGTTTCTGATGCCGTTTGCATCCAGCTTTCTTCCTTTGTGCCCAGATAAAATGCAGGGTGTTATTTCAATTTTCCTAAATTTGTTGAAACTTGCTTCATTTCCCAATATGTGCGGTTGAGTTTGGAGAAAATTCCAGGGGTTGCTGAGAAGAAAGTACATGGTTTAGTGTTTGGATTGAATGTTCTGTAGTTGTCTGATAGATTCATTAGATATATGATTCCATTTTTACTCTCGAGTTTCTCTGTTTAGAGTTTTTTCTGGGTGGCATATCTACTGATGAGAGGTTATTTATTTTACCCCAGTATCATGGTGTTTGGGGTTTTCTGTGGCTTATGTTCAACATTTTTTCTTTTATAAAATTGGGTGCCTCTGTGTTTGGTGCCTATACAATCAAAACTGTGATACCCTCTTGGTGGATTTTTATTTTTTTAAATATTTATTATAATTTTTAATTTTGTGTGTGCATGTGTGTCTGTGTTTGTATGTGTGCATGCATGTTCTGGTACCATGGAGGCCAGAAAAGGGCATCACATTCCCTGGAGCTAGAGTTTCAGGCAGTTATGAGCTGCCTGACATGGGTGTTGAGCTTTGAACAAAGATTCCCTGCAAGAGCAGTATGTACTCCTAACTGCTGAGCCTTCTCTGTAGCTCAGATTATTCCTTTCAGGTGCATGAAGTGTCTCTCCTTATCTCACTAGTTTTGGATTGAAGTCTGTGTATTCAGATATTTGAATAGCCATGAATGTTTGTTTCTTAGTTCCTTTTGCTTAGAATACCATTTTCCATCCTTTTACCCAAAGGCAGTATCTATCATTGATAGTGAGGTGTATTTCTTGGTGACAGCAAAAATGTGGATCCCATTTTTTAATTCAATATGTTTGTGTCTCTTTATTGGGGAATTGAGACCATTAATATTGAGAGTTATTTTTGAACAATGTGTATTAACTACTGGCTTTTCATGATGATATTTTCTTAAACCTCTTTGGTTAACTGTTCTTGAACTGCATTTTTCAGTCCCTGTGCTCTTACAGGCTTGTTTAACCTTCTCTTCAGACTGAAGTATTCCTTCTTGTATCCTCTGTAGAGCTGGCTTAGTGGTCGTAAATTCCTTAAATCTCTTTGTCATGGAAAGTTTTTCTTTTTGCTTCTATTACTACTGATAGTTTTGCTGGGTATAATGCCCTGCACTGTGTTCTATGGCCTTCAAGAACTTGTAGAGTCTTACAGGCTTCTGAGACCTTTCTCATACACTAGAGCCAGACAAACTCAGACAAAAACCCAGCATAGAACTGTGGAAATGAGCAGCAGAACCCAATCTTAGCTGAAAACTATTGGCAGCTGATTACTTCTGGGTGAGGAAGAGCTGATCTTCTTAAAGGGAGGGACTCTAGATAGGTTGACTAGACCTCAGTGAATGAGTTTGCACTGAGGGATGTTTGGGGACACTAACTTAACTCAATCGGCTTTAACATCAATGACAGAATGCATAAAATCCAGTGGGGGGTACTATGGGAGAGTGTCCATAGGGAAGAAAATATAAAAATTATTAAGGTGTTCTGTATGAAATACACATAAAATCAATTTTAGAAATACTAATCACAAAAAAAGAGCCTGTAGAGCATTAATTCAGGACTTCCTGGTTTTCACAGTCTCCATTTCAAAGTCAGGTGATATTCTGATGGACCTGCCTTTGTGATTTGGTCTTTCCCTCTTTCAGTTTTTACTATCTTTTCTTTGTCCTATAAATTTAGTGTTCTAATTATTATGTGACATGTGGACTTTCTTTTCTGATCCTATCTATTTGGTGTTCTGTATGCCTCTTGCACCTTGATAGGCATTTCTTTCCTTAGATTTGGGAAATTTTCTTCTATGATTTTTATTGAAAATATTTTCTGTGCCTTTGACCTTCCATCTCCTCCTCTATACCTATGATTCATAGGTATGGTCTTTTATCTGTCTCAGAGTTCCTACATGTTCAGTTCTTGAGATTTTTTTGCATTTAACATTTTTTGACTGAGTGATCAGTTCTTCATCTTGTTTTCAAGCCTTGATAGTCTCTCTCTCATTTGATCTATAAAGTTGGTCAGGATTTTCACTGAGTTTTTTTTTTTTTTAATCAGTGACTTGAGTTTTTCATTTCAATTTCACTGAGTTTTTTTTTTTTTAATCAGTGACTTGAGTTTTTCATTTCAACTTTTATTTCAGTATGGGTTTTCTTCAGAAAGTTTATCTCATTTCATTCAACTTTTTCTTTGTGTTTTTGCAGTCTTTATTTCAGAATTTATATATATATATTTCTTTATTAGTTCCTTGAATATTTATAATCACTATTTTGAAATCATTGTCTTTATATGTTGACCCTCATATGTTGCGTGTAGAAATTTAAATGATGCATTTACTTTAAAACAGCCTGTAATTTCCTTATGTTAAATGCACAGTTAAAATATGCAAGAAATTATATTTCCAGATTTATGAGAGAAATGAAAGCCTATATCCATACAAAACCATATGTGAATTTTCACATAAATAATGTAAAAGATAAAAGTAGATAGAAATAACTAAGAATTATGGATCAAAAAATAAAATGTATTAGATCTATATACTGAAACTGTATTTGGTTAGTAAGAAGGAATAAATTACTGATAGATGCTACAACAGAGATCAGCCTAGAAAACATTGTGCTAAGTGTAAGAAGCTGATCTCAAGGGTCACATTTTATATGCTTCCACTTACATTAAATATCCCAAACATGCATATTTATAGAAATGCAGATTACTGGTTTATAGTACTGGATAGTGCAAGGAAGAATGGGGAATGACTACTCTGGGTATGAGTTTCTTTGTGGTAACTAATATATCCTAAAATTAGATTGTGATGATGATTGTTTAATCTAGTGACAATACTAAAAGTCTTTAAAATATGCACTTTAAAAATAACACATTTTATATCATAATTATACCTTCATAAAGCTATTATAAATGTTTTAATAAACAAAGAATTTGTTTAAAAAACTATAAACCATCATAATATGGGAACTAGTGTTAACAAGCTGTGGGCCATGGGTCTATCTGTCATTCAGATTCTTTGTATTGGAACACAGCAATATTATTTTTTTTTGAGAGAGAGAGAGAGAGAGAGAGACAGAGTCTTGTTCTGTAGCCCAGACTGACTTCAAGTTCTTAACAGTCCTTCTGCTTCAGCCTCCTGAGTGCTGCTGGAATTACAAACATGAGCTGTGACATCTGGCCTTTTATTCATTAACTGTCTACCTGCCCCTGGTTTTGCAGACTTCTATGGCAGTAACAGGTTATCTGGCACCCAGAATAAATAATGTTTCCTATGTGACCTATGTGACCCTCTTACAAAGAGTGGTTGTCAACTCTTGTTATTAGATAGTAAATAATATTCAAAAGCAATGAAAAGTATCTTAGATTATTGGCAGATAGATCCCAGGTATTAAGTGAAAAACATCAGTTTGGATTTGGAGAATATATAGATAATTTCTGTGAAGGACAAAACAAAACAGACATCCATAATCGAATAGATAAGTGTAGTGTTATGTAAATGCCTGGGATGTATTCTGAAAAAACAGCAATCTAATTACATGTCTTGGGCGGGCCCTGGCTTTTTGGCATGCTAGTCAAATTATATTCTAACTTGAATTTGTAATATGTTAAAGTCTTTACAAAGTAAATGTATAAATGTGTTAAGTAGATAAAATTATGCAGTACATTATGGATTTTTTTGGTCTGTTTTTCAGAGCTTTAAATGATCAAGATTTAACAGAGGCTGTAAGTGTAAAATCCTTACTTTTAAATTGTGCGTTGTCTTTGAATTCTTGAGATACTCCAGAAATTGCCATTTTATACCATTCAAAAGATATGAATGCTCACTCAATTTATTCCTATCTCTAAGAATGTATGAACTGGAAAGCTATGTATTTTCTTTTAACTTTCTAGCTCTCATCACTCACAAATACTTCTGAAATACTAGACTAGTATTCTATGCATCTAGTTCTGCTCATTGGCCTCCATCAATCCCAATGATAGCTTTACTCTACAGATTAATACCTGTGGCTCATTATTTCCTGATTTAATGAAACCCTTTTCACGTTAATAGCAAAGTATTCAAATAAACTTATTGAAATGCTTGATTTTCATCAATTCTTAAATTATTACATTTACTTTTAGAAATATAAACAGATGAAAACTGATTTTGACTTGTTATATATGGAGAAATCCCAGCTGGAAAATGAAATACAATTGTTGAAAGATGCAGAGGTTGGTAAATTCTAGTGCCATGCAGTACCCAACAAGGCTTAGTACCCTGGCTAGGAATCAAAGTGATATGTAGATGGTTTCCGTGCTTCCAGTAGTCATAATATATAGTAGCTGTGCCTTCAAAACCTAAATTCATGTTCTAAATTTCCTTTTTAGCTTCCAAACTCAAGGATGCCATGAAAACAGACATATAAGTCAAACATTCTCAAAGGCATGTGTATGTCAAACACTTAACTTCATGAAATAATCAGTGATATTTCTTTGTTAATAGAAGAGAAAGCAGAAATTATTTGTGGTCATTTTGCCTTTCATTGTTTTAGTACTTATTAATCTGTAATACACATGAATTTTTATAGGAAGCATCCATTTTCATTAAAATTCATTACTACATTCTGATATTTCTGCATTTTGTTAATGTTGTTGTTTTGAGACAGGGTCTCATGTAGCTGGGCTGGCCATGTAGTCATTATGTAGCTGAGAATAACCTTTAACCCTCAAGCATCCTGCCTCTACCCCTCAAGTCCTGGAATTGCAGGTGTATACCACTGTGTCCAGCTTTTTATTTCCCTTATTTATGAGGAAATATTTCACTTTATGCATAAGTTTGTATACATTGGACTTTTTAAAAAACAGAAAATAACCACCTACTGCCTTCACTGGTCTTTATAATTTTATTATTTGATTGTTAAAATTTTTCTCTATATTCATATCTACAATAATAATCTTTTCTTTCATAATTTTCAAGAATATTTTGCCTTGGCATGATGATGTTCACCTGGGATCCTACTACTTGGGAAGCTGCGGCAAGAAGATCATGAATTCAAGTCCAGCCTAGGATACATGTTTAGACACTGCCCCATAAATGCTTTGAGCCCTGTATTTATTTCTGTTATAATAATTGTTTTAGATGCAGATTTGTTCCAGAAATTGAGTATAATTTGGATTTCACCTGTTCTTTCTCTCATTTCATTGAATAAACACTAGTGAACACAGCTTCTGCTACCTACATGATTTTCAGCACACCGAGCACCACATCAGCCACATCTGCTGTTTTGTCTTTCTGTTCAGCTTCAGATAAACCTCCTGTCACTGCAGGTGCAGGATTCCCTGTGCTTGTCTCCACAAATGGGACTTCAGGTCTCTTTCAAAAGAAAGGACTGTGTCTTGTCATGATGTTTTCATGTTCTGAGTCATTCAACTTAGTTTTTAAAAGTATCACTGATGGAACTTTTGTATGATGTCATTCTAACCCATCTCCCATGTCCTGCTGGCTCTATTGCATGCGTTGCACAGGGAGCTATCCTTCGGAGCCATAGGCCACACTAGAGCAGCACCGACAAAATGTCAGAGGAGTTTAATTACTTCAGTGTGTATTAGTTTATATATAATTGATATTAAAAATTATGAATTTGCAGGCTAGAGATGGCTCAGTGAGTAACAAGCTTGCTTCACAAGTATGAAGAGCTCAGCTTGAATCTATAGCATCCACATAAAAACTGGACACAGTGGTACATCTACTCTCCCATCAGTACTGGGGGTTGGAGATGATTAGATTGCAGGAGCCCTCTGGCAAGCCCATCTAGCTGAAATGGTGAGCTTCACATTCAGTGAGAGACCCTGTCCCCAAAAACAAGATATAGAGAAATAAAGGAAGACACTGCCTGATAGTAACCTCTGACCTACACACAGACACACACACAGACACACAGACACACACACACACGCACACACACGCATGGGCACGTATATACCCATACATGCTCTTTTTTTAAAAAAAATACAGAGTCAAGCAATCTAGCTGTATCATCAATGTTGCCTTATTTTTGGTCAGATAATATTCCTTGAAACATAGCATGGTGACTGGAGTAAAGGGGGGATCTTAGCAGTGTATATTACCACACATCTCCTATAGCTTATGGTAGCCTTAATCACTTTTTTTCTGGCTTAATTCAAATTACACAGAAAGGAAAAGCTGTAATCAAACAGTGGACAAAGAAAACTGGGAAACCAGAGAAGAAAAAAGATAAGGATTCAGAAAGGTAAGACGGAAAGAGACGTGGTATTTGTCTTCCTTGCTGCTTCATATTTTTAAAATTACAAATAATCTAGGTCTTAAAAACATTCAAAAAGACAAAAAAAAAAACCCCACATCTCATCAATAGGTGTTTAGAACATGAAATTAACAAATACTTAGTTTTATAAGCCGGCCAGGATATTGCTGTGAAAAAAATCAAAAAGGAAAAAATAAAGACTTTTACTGGGTTAGAGGTGGAGAGTGAACCAGACAATGTACAGGATTATGCAAGCAGAATTAAATCTTTAATAATTGTGGGAGGAAAAGACTTTATGTTGGTTCCTTGTCACTAGCTAATGCTTTGCACTTTGCTAACTCCCCAACTCAGTTCCCCAGAATTTGTTCTCCACTACTGGGTTTTTTTAAATCACTTAAAAAAATATTTTTAGAAAAATTTTTAGAAGAAGTATTTCATTACAGCTTTAACATACTCAATAACAGTTTCCAGAGCAAAGATACATCCCTTTCAAAAGTGGTTATAAAATTTTTAGGTTTGCTGTTGAATTAATACAGTTACACAATATTGAACTCAGTATAAGCCCTCTAAGCTGTTATTTTTATAAAGACAATTATGCATGATTGTAAAGTGGTTTTAATAAGTGAATATTCTATTAATATTTTAAATTAATTGTTGTATTTTGAATTTACTTGATATAATTCTAGTATAAAATAAAGCCTTAAAAAGATCTTGTTAATTCAGTCTTTATAGAATAGTGCTGGTCTGAAAAGAAATTCATTAGACAAGTAATTCGACTTTTAAATTAAAGAAGAAAAGTGATCAGAAAAAAGATCAGCGTGTTTTCAAGACTCCAGTCACTTCACATTTTAGTCCCGCCTTTGAGAAGTTGGCTTGAGAAATAGTATTCATTTATTGTTTAATCTACATGGATTTAATGACTTCTAAAAAAATGCCCAAGGGACTGAGAATTGAGCTCAGAAGGCAAAAGCACTCGTACTGCAATCTGACAACCTGAGTTCCATCTCAGATCCCACATAAAAACCACATACAGTTGCTCATATCTGTACTCCCCACACTCCCGAGGGGAGATGGGAGGTAGACACCAGTGCTGTATGGAGTGCAGTGGCAGAAACTAGGGGGATCTGCCTCAGAGACAAGATCGAAGTAGAGAACTGACTCCGGAAAAGTTGTCCTCTGCCCTCAACACATGTGCTATGACATGAGAGCGCTCTCTCTCTCTCTCTCTCTCTCTCTCTCTCTCTCTCTCTCTCCTCTCCCCCAACTAAATATGCAGTAAGTATGAATTATTTTAAGACTTTAAGTGGTTTAAAGTCCTTAGGGAAGCACAGCAGTGATGCATTCTCAGATCTTGTGATATAGTTTCAAATATTTTTAATTACAGAAAGTTACCTCCAAACAGAGAACTTAAAATGCAAGAATTTCTTCAACTCAGAGTAAGATATATCCTCCATGAGTCTCTATAGTTTATAATTATTAATATGTACTATGTGTGTTTTTGTGATATTTCTCTAAGTACTCTCTATACGTACTTTAAGTTTGTCGACCTACCCTTCTTGTATGCTTGAATCTTTTATGCCCTCTCCCTAGCACCCTTCCTAGGCTCTAAATTTCCCTCTGGATTCTTTCTGTGCCCCTCCCCCTTGCTTTTCTCCATCTGTGCCAGCCACTGTCTGTTCTGCACTTCTGCAAAGGTGACATCTTGGCTTCCTTGATGTGGGTGGAAGAACATGTGATGTTCCTCTGTGGGTCTGTCACTCAACAGTTTGCTCTCCAGTTGTGTCCATTTTGCTGCAAATATCAGGATTTCATTCTTTTATGGAGGAATAGCATTCGGTTGTATAAATACACACTATTTTCTTTATCCATTCATCCCCTGAAAGGCATCTGTGTTGATTCTGTATTTTAACGATTGTTGATAGTGCTACAGTATACATGGAGGTACAAGTATCTTTTTGGCATAAAAATACTTAAACCTTTTTGGAATATAGCAAATCATTCAGTTGCCGGAGTTAGAGGCACATACTGCCACTCCTGGCTTTTTATGTGGATGCTAGACATCTGAACATGGGTCATCATGCTTACAGAGCAGGTAATTTACTGAGATATCTCCCCATCCCATCCAAAAAAAAATGTTTCTTTTTAAAAATGAGGTCTCAGCCGGGCGTGGTGGTACAAGCCTTTAATCCCAGCACTCAGGAGGCAGAGGCAGGTAGATCTCTGTGAGTTCAAGGCCAGCCTGGTCTACATAGTGAGTTTCAGGACAGCTGGGGCTACAGGGAGACCCTGTCCCAAAAAAAAAAAAAAAAAAAAAAAAAGAGGTCTCACTGTGTTTCCCACACTGGTCTAAAATTTATGGGCTTCTCATTTCCCCACCTCAGCATCCCAAAGGTTTGTGCCCCAACACTTGGCTAATCCTTTTTTAAATATACAAAATATGGCTGCAGCTAAAATAAGCTAGTAAATAACTTGATAAACAGAATTCTTTGATGACCCCTTGGTCCTCATGTGTGGCACTTTGTTCTCTAGGATGCATTCGCTGAGTGGTGGAGTACCATTGAGCTGCTTCTAGCCAGTAGAATATGGCAGTAATTCTATGTCACTCTCCTTACTAGATTACATCATACATCGAGGTTTACAGTATATCACACTCATGATCAAGTTACATTATCTAATATCTGTCTTAGCAGACAAGAGATTTTTGACTAGCTTCAAAGCAGCAACATACTGCTATGGGCTTGCCTGTGGATAAGGCCATCTACCTGCAAATGGTAGACTGCTTTTAGAAGTTAAGTGCCTTAGTCCTACAACTACAACTCCCTGATGTCTGTCATATGTACTTGAGCTTGGCAGGACACCCATGTTTACAGATTTGGATAGGTGCCTAGCCTACACTTTGATTTCAGCCTGGTGAGATCACAAACCGGATACAGAAGTCAGGCTCAGACCCCACCCCCTGTAATTGAGATATTTTGTTTTAAGCAGCTATGATAACTTGCTATGGCACAAGGGAAAGTTAATACCAAGTCTATGTCTTTCTGAGATGTCTTTACATATGTATCTTGGGAAAATATAAGGAAATACCTTAGGAATACCAGAAGGACTTTTTCCAGTTGGAATTGTGAGTCAAGTTAGTGTCCCCAGACATCCCTCAGTACGAATTATACATTGGTGTCTAGTCAGCCTATCTAGACTAGAAGATCAGCTTTTCCTCACCCAGCAGTAATCAGCTGCTGATAGTTCTTTGGCTAAGATTGGGGCCTGCTGCCCATTTCCCCAGTTTTATGCTGGGTTTTGTCTGCTTGAGTTTGCATGGTTCTTGAACATACTATAGGTTTGTATGACTAAGGTCCCACGGCCTGTAAGATTTTATTTCCATATGGTCGTGCACCTGCTTGCTCCCTGGCGCTTAATATCTTTCCAGCCCCTCTTCCACAGTAGTCCCTGAGCCCTTGGTGGGTGAGGTTTAATATAGGATTCCTTTCTAAAGACCCACACTCTTTATGATTTGGCCATTTGTGTCCTTTTGTGTTCACGGCCCTCTGGTGCATGGGGGAGCTTCATTGATGAGAGTTGAGAGATGCATTAGTATTCCCTTTAACCTTTGTTCCACTATGTTCTGTGAGACTTAGGTATAGAGGTTCTGTTGTAGATATTACTTAGGGTTGGGCAATTCACAGATAATCTCTAACGCTGGTGCCATTTGGCCATTTATTTATAGTTTGTGTTTGATGAGATCTCTGATTTCATTCATGGACATATTGTTATAAGAGTTGCTTTGCTAATTCTGAAATCAGAATTATTTTGGGATCTCTGTTGATTTCTTTTGTCCTAATAGTAAGTCAAATTTTCCTGTTTATTCAAAAGTCATTTAATTCTAAATTGTACCCTGTATATTTTCAGTATTGTAGTGTTCAAACTGGATTCTGCTATGTTCTTTGATGAATGCTACTTTTTGTTATAATTAAAATGATAGCTGTAAGTAGAAATTATATACCTATGTACTGGCTCAAGTTTTAACTCTTTTAGTTTTGCCAGACTGCCTTGAGTCTTCCCTATGAGTATGTGGTTCAGAGGTCAGAGGAGAGTGTGGGTGGCTTTTATACAATATTGTTAGGTCTCCCTATCTTGAGTTTTCTTCTTTTTGTGACTCTCTCCTAGCCTTTACCATGGTTAGGGTTGCCCCAAACTTTGTTCTCTTGTTTGTAGGTTATAAAGATCTTTGTTCCCTGTAAGCTGTTACATGTCTTGTGTGGCTCATATAGGTCTTGCTCACAAGTTGAAAACCAAGAAATATGGGAATCCTATGTAGGACTTCCTTTCTTCCATGGTCACCTGTCCTTGTTTGTACTTCAGAGTTGATACTTTTGGATCATCAAAGTGGTGATTTGGTGGATAGACGTGGCATGGAATGTCCTCTAGGGACTTGATGTGACATATCAGAAGCATAACTGGGGTGTTCGATATGGTCCTCAAACTGTCTTTCATTCACTATAGGTTTCCCAAAATGGTCATGTGTAATTCATTCATTCTCACAAGGCCAGAACTATGATTATTTCATGTCAAAATAGACATTCTTCTTCTAGAAGCATTAAATGTTTCTATTTAAATATTTCAGGTCTCAACAAAAGGAGAAATGAAATGTTTAGTTTGTCTATTTGCAGTTTACAAGCCTCATGGTAATCCTCCTGTGGGCACTCAACAGAAACCTATGGCTTCAGGTGGTGTCCACCATCATAGGCTGGAACTTTGTAGTTAGATTTGTGTCTAAGTCATCAAACTGGATATCTGTGCAACTTGATGAATAATAACTATAAAAATAAACCTTGGAAGTGTCAGAGTCTTGTCTCCTTTTCTTTCCTAGAGAGAAGCAAGTACTCTGAAGATGGAGAAGAAATCCCTTCAGGAACAACTGAGATGGGCTTTACAGGTAAAGAGCCGGTGCGCCTTCAGCATTACTGCAAGAGCATATGGACAAGGAACTTTCTAAATAAGTAATTTGACCTTGTAAATTAAGAGAGTACACACACACACACACACACACACACACACACATATGCACATGCTGTGCTTTCTACTCTCTGAAGATTAGAATATAGTCATTTTATATCTTCTAAGTGCATTAATAAGACTTAATATTTGTTCTTATAAAAATAGTAATCTAGAAAAAAATGGAAACTTGCTTAATAATGCAAAGTCTTCTATTTCAAACTGCTGATTGATAATTTACTTGAAATAAAATACTGCTTGGAGGCAGGAGAGATGGTTTAGTGATGATTAAAAGCACATAGTACTCTTGCAGAGGGCCCGAGTTGGATTTTCAGTACTATTGTCCAGTGGCTCATAACCACCTATAACTAACTCCATCTCCAAGGGATCTGATTCTCTCTTCTGAGCTCCATGGGCACCTGCACTTAAATGTGCATATATTGGCAAATAACACATAATTTTAAAAAACAAAAGAAAATAAAATTCTCCCAGCATTCCAGTTAAAGTCAGTAAAATTAGTATCCCATCTCTTCCAACTCTTCTTCCAATTCTAGCTAACCAACAAAACAGAAAATGAAATAGGATATAAACATTTCCATAAATGGACACACACAAATAGCAATGTTGTATGCTACATAATTTTAGTGTAAAATGCAAGATAATAAAGTATATAATAAAGAAATTTTAAAAGGTGACTGGGAACAAATCAGAAAATAAAGCAATAGACTTTGATCCAAAATATCTATTCAGATATATCATTCTGAAAACAAAAGTTATTCATAATACTAGTTTTAAATAATTTGGTATAACATTTAATAAAATACAGGGAATTTTTTATGGATGGATATAGGTAAAGACTGAAAAAACAAATGACCTGTTTTGAAAGTTCTGTGTTACCAGTATTTCAGTTATCATTTTCCCCAAGTGTTTCTTAGGTGAAAATGAAATCATTTTTTAACATATTAAAACTATTATAAGAGTCAAGGAATAAGAAACAGTTCTGCAAGAGAAGAACAATTAGAGGACTCTTGACCCATCGTGAATGTCTCCTTGAGGGTTCAGTGAGAGAGCACTGGGATTCTGCTTCTGGGGCTGAATGGAGCATCTACGGACATATTCAAATGAATATAGTAATTTAGTATTTCAGAAAATTTTAGTACTTAAAATTTTCATAGAAGAATATGATAGTCACACAAGATAAACATTTAGGGAAAGTAAGCTTCTCTTTCACAAAATGCACTCGTTACTGATTGTTTTAAGGTGTGAGATTAATAAATGGGCATTAATGATAATTGAATAATATATTATTGGCTATCCATAAGAATGCCCAATATGGGCCTCATGCATACCAGGATAGCTGTGAAAGTTGCTCAGCACATTTGTAGTGGATAGTATCACGTCACAGTATCAAAGGTTGGACATCCCGATGGACCAAACCTTTCTAAACAACATACCCAAAGGAATGTATTAATGAATTTGAGTCTACTAAATTTGCAACATTTATGTTGTAAGTTATGGTTAGAAGGGTTTTTGTTTACAAGTTATAAAGACCTAGATTTTCTATAAGCTATTAAGTGCCAAGCATGGCTCAGGCAGGGCTTGCTCTCAAACTGAAAGCCATGAAAATGGAAATCCTACCTAGGTAAGTAAAACATGTGAAGATCAAGAAAGTATCAAGTACTTTATATGAAGATATTTCATAAACCTTCCTAAAATATACAAGAAACAAAAATAGGTGAATCATAATTCAGAAACACACACATCCAATAAATACAAGTATATGTATTCAACCTCACTAATTATTGAAGAATTGTAATTTAACAGAATAAACACTTTTAAAATAATCTTTTATTTATTTTTTATGTGTATGAACATATTGCCTACTTGCATGTAAGTGCATAAGTGTTGTGCAATACCTGCGGAGGTCAGAAGAAGGTGTCAGATCCCCTAGATTGGAGTTACAGATGGTTGTTAGCCATCATGTGTTTGCTGGAAATCACGCCTGGGTCCTCTGCAAGAGCAGTCAATGCTCTTGACCGCTGAGCCATCTCTCTAGCTCCCAGAATAAACACTTTTTACCTACCATTTTTTATAAATTTAAGGAACAGGAAACCCTAATATTTGTGGATATATAACAAAATAAATAATCTTTCATATATTTCTGTTATGTCAGCATGAATTGTTATTTTTCTGAAAGAAATCTTGAGGAAAATGTAGCCATTTATTTTAACAAGTTCACTTTGAAAATTTGACCCTAAAGAAGAAAAGGGACAGAAATTTTAAACTAAGGAGTGTGCATTTTAACAGAAAAAGTTTGAAATTACTGAAATGTTCACTAGTAAGAAATTTGCAAAATAACTATGGTATTTTACTGAATATATTTCTGCTACTTATCCCAGTAAATGTACATTTTGTTGTAAAACACATCCATAACATTTTTCAATGAAAAGAGCATATTATGGGAGTATGTATTGCATGAAATAATATATCTAAAAATCAAAATCAAAATGAGTATATATAAAGATACCAGATCAAAATGCTGAATTATTTTTTCCTATGTAGAAAGTTTTTGTGAATTTTCTTTTCATATATATATAAATTCTTTATAATAAAAATTCTAAAAATAATAATCTAAAGAAATATTTTATTTTAGAAATAATAAATTATTTTCACATTTCCTTCTGCTCTTTGATGCTATGGATAATCTTTATCCATTTTGTAATATATCGTTGAAAACAATAGTCTTGAAAACAACAACTTGGAAAAATGCCTGAATAGTTTTAGCAAAACAAAATTGGAAAACCTTTTTCCCAACTTTAATCCTAAGTGTAAAGCTATTTAATTATCAATTATACCAATAGTTTAACTTAACTTCATCCAACCACTAAATAATATTTATTGAGAGAGAATGTAGATCTAAGTATATGTAAATTCATGAAGGTTGTATCGTTGGTAGGTAAATGTCACAGAAGGCAATACTTGACACATTGCGTTCTTAAAACAGGAAGCCATGAGAAGTAAGAACCAACTTGACCATGTCCTACAGCAAGAGTTAGAGTATTTTAAAAGTGAAGAAAGGCTCAAAACAAAATTGGACAGAAATTCTAATAAAGTAAAAGTGACAGGTGAAAATTTAGGACGTACCCCATTGCATGAGAGTGAGTCAAGGACAACATTACCTTCTCATTCAGGTGGACAAAGGACTTATGAACATGATCAGGTAAGTAAATGGCCAATATAGTAATAAATAAAATTTATCCTTCATATCATTATTTTTTATTTGCATTTATCATTTTTATTTGTTTGGACTTTTGAGCTTTACCTTCTAGATGTGTGGGTTCATTGTCATCTTGAATACCAACTGTCCTAGTTTGCTTTTCTGTTGCTTTGATAAACACCATGACTAAAGCAACTTGGGGAGGAAAGGATTTATTTCATCTTACAACTCCCAGGTCACAGTCCATCATTAAGGGAAGTCATGGTAGGAGCTCAAGGTAAGAATCTGAAGGCAGGAACTACAGCAGACACTATGGAGAAATGCTGCTTACTGGTTTGCCCTCAGGCTCTCATTTAAGCTATCTTTCTAGTACATCCCAGGCCCACCTGCCCAGGAATGGCACTTCCCATAGTGGGCTGGACTCTCCTACATCAATTAGCAGTCCAGAAATGGCCACACAGACATGACTGTAGGCCCATCCAATGGAGGAAATTCCTCAGTTGAGGTTCTCTCTTCCCAGGTCACTCTAGTTTGTGTAAAGTTTATAGCTGAAACTATTATGACATTCTACCCCTTGTCAGCTTGGACACACAAACACATCACCTTAAATCATAAACTTTCTTTTTTTGTTTGTCTGCAAGACCTCATGATAATGTCATAATATATAGTACAACTTTTTTAAGGTTCCATAGTCTTTTTAAAACTCCAAATTCTCTTTAAAAATCTGAAATCTTTTACTATGGGCTCCCATAAAATCCAAAATATGTTACATTATTTCTTACTCCAAGAGGGAGGAACCAGGGCACAATTATAATCAGATCAAAGCAAAACCAAAATCCAGCAGTGTCAACAGCTCAGACTCTAACATGTAAGACTCACTCATGATCTTCCAGGCTCCAAAAGGATTGGGCAGCTCCACTTTGGATCTGCTACCTCAACACACATAGCTTGTCTTATAAGCTCAGGCCATATCTACTCCATATCCACCACTGTCCTTAGTGATCATCCTATAGTCCTGGCATTTATATATGTGGGCATCTCCAACGTAACTGAGGCTGAATTTTCACCAGTGGCCTCTCAGCCTCTTCAGGGACTCTGAGCCTGCTACATGGTGCCAGGCCTTAGCTTTGCTCCATGATGACTTCAATCTTAGGGTTTCCACAGCCATGGAGGATGCACCTTCACCAGTGGCCTGTCCTGGCTTCTCACAGTACCAAGTCTCAGTTGTTGTTCATGATCTCTTTGTGCCTTCAAAATCCATACCATGTGGGAGAGTCTTACACATTGTCAAGTTCATCTTTCAGCATGAAATGCAGCTCTTTGGACCATAACTTCTGTGTGCTATGAGCCTGAGGAAATATTCCCCAGAAGACTTCACTTCAATGATGCTGGGCTGATGATTTTTCAGCCCCAACTAGCCAGCATCTTTTGTCTTTGTAAAGCACAAAAGGTTTCACTTCCACAGATTCTTAATTCAAATGTACTGCACAAACAGCCCCAATAAAGTCTTTGAGGGACTCTCAAGCCTCCCTCTGCAGCTTCACAAGCCAGACCTCCACAAATTACATTTTTTCACCATTCTTATCTTTCAAGCTCCAACACAACAGCCCGTTAATCTCTGCATACTCCATGGCTTTCATGCTTCCACAATCCTCTCCCCAAACCAGTCAGGTCCAAAGCAGCAACACCCCACATTCCTGGTACCAATTTCCCTTCTAGTTTGCTTCTATTGCTATGATATAACACAGAACCAACTTAGGGGAGGAAAAGGATTTATTTGGCTTACAAGTTGCAGTCCATCCTTGAGGGAAGCCAGGATAGGAACTTAAGAAGTACACCTGGAGACCATGATCATGGAGAAATGCTGCTTATTGACTTGTCTTTGGCTCACATTCAGCTACTTTTCTTGCACAGTCCAAGTCCTCTTGCCCAGGAATGTCTCTGCCCATGGTAGGCCGTGTCCTCCAGCATCAATTAAAAGTTCAGAAAATACTCCACAGACGTGCCTATAGGCCAATGTGGTAGAGGAAATTTCTCCATTGTGTTTCCTTCTTCCTAGGTTTGTGTCAAGTTGACAGACAGCTGAACTTCATGATGACATCAACCTATAAATTATTAATTTTGAATGAATATTTAAGAATCTATTTAAGTACCTGAAGAAAATAGGATTTCAAAGGATAAATATATTCTGCTATAAATAAATAAAATTAAATATAAATGCAGAATCACAGGGGAGAAATTCTTCCAAATACTTTATTTTGTTTCTGTTTCACCTTAGATTCAGAAGCTTTTCACTTTTCCCCACAAGCTTTCTTGAACTTTGTTCAGACTTCGTTGGCTCTGATCCTGTCCGAGCCTCATCTTTGCTTACCCCTAGGTCACTGCATGTACTTATGTAAAGATGCACACCAATATGTATCTTCTGATGTGGTTACACTGAATTATGTCTTTAAGTTCATGAAAAATCACTATGTATTCTGTTGCCTTCAGATTTTTCACATTTTGTTTATTCTTTTCTTCCTGTGTTCTAAAATTTCTCTTGTTAGAAAAAGGGCTAAAGAACAAAATGTGCAATTTCAATTAGTTGTCTAAGTTGTTTTATGCTGCCTAATAAATCACCACAGTATTCCATGACCTATATAACATATATCTTTAGCTCACATTTTTGAATGGGGTCCAGGGTGTGCCTCAGCTGGGCCTCCTGACTCTGGGTGTTTCACAAGCATGCACTCACAGTGTCAGCCTGGCTTCCCCAGCATTATGGCCCATTTGGAGTAGGATGCATTTCCAAGTACTTGTGCCAGTCTTGTTAGACCTCAGGCCCTTGGCAGGTTGTGATCTTAAGGATCAATACCTTGCCTAAGAAGAATAAAAGTGAAGATTTACATAATCTATGCTACTGGTTTACTTACAAATAATTTTAAAGGTCATACATCAAAATGCTAACTTTCTTCATGTGATTAGTTTTTTGGGGAATTTTGTTATATTCTTTCCAATTGAAAATTTATATTTTCATTTAAGAAAAACAAATTTTCCATATTTCCTTCTATTCTTTGATATGAATTATTTGATTCATAGTATGTCACTTCTAATAATGTAGACCCTCTATTAGCTTTTATTTTACCTAGAAGAACTAGAACCTAAAAAACAGCAACTTTGGGAAATGCCTTTTATTATAAATTGCTCTCAATAGTGTAATTTTTACAACTTCTATTTTAATTATAAATCTGTTAAACCATTGATTTTACCAAATGGCTTAAGTTACCTTCCCCAACTAGTAAATAAAAGTTGAGAGATGATGCATGTACAGATTCCTGAAGGTTGGACTACTGCAGGCAAATGTCACAGAAGGCAATCCTTGAAACACTTTCTTAACAGAGAGAAGCTTTAAAAAGTAAGCAAGAATGCAGAAGCAGGGGTAGAGAGAGATAAGATAGAAAAAAGGAGACACGCCTGATCTTGGAAACTAATCTCATCAGTCTTGCCACACTCAATGAATTAGAAGAGTCATATCTCTGTGGTGAGACCATGTACAGGAGAATCTGTTACTGCAATGAACACCAGGCAGACATCATGGGCCACCAGTTGAGAGGTTGTATACTCAATGTAGGCTGGTGTAAGATTGTGAAAACACCCGAATTTGGTACTGTACTAAGCAGTTTGGGTTTCAATATTAATATTTTTTGGAAAAGCTACTTAGGGCAGGCCTGAGGAACTTGCATTACCGAGGCTGAAAGTGGTCTGTGTACTTTTCCTTGCTTTTCTTTGTTCACACTTAACTTGACGGGGAACTTGATAGTCTACCTCAGACTAACTTGATAGGTAGGCTAACAGTATGTCTAAGGAGAAGAAAATTAGTTTGGAGAATGGCCAGAAACGTTTGCTGAAGGTGGATAAAGACCAAGCTGGCTAATATTTGTACAAAACAAATTAAATTAGGTGAGATTCAGGCCGGCAGTAGAACCCAGAGTCAACATTTGCACTGTAGGAAAATACCTGTTACTTTTCAGAAGAGTTCACCTATTAATAAAATCATACTTGCACAGCTACAAGCTTCCTTGTGGTATGAGACCTCAACATTCTAGAATGCATTCGCATTTTAAAATTTAAAAAGCACCATCATGTTATTGCACTAGCATTATAAACTATAGG